TACAAGGAAAGTCTGGTCCATGTCAAGATCTCCTAATATTACTTCTGCAACTACTATGCGCTCCATTGTCCATTCTGGCCCATTCCCTGCCCCCAGATCTACATCTTCAAAATTGACTTCCAAATCAATCACAGTTGACACAGTGCCCATCAATGTGCCCTTAGGAAGGATTTCAGTCTCATTCCTACTATCACTTCTACAATAGACTGCCACGTAACTTTGACCACCCTGAAAAGACAAAACCCCATCTGCTGCACTGAAATGCTTTCCCTTCACCATGATGTTCCCCTCAAAAAGGTAATCGCCACTCTTCACTTCAAGAAATAAAATGGGCACTAATGCCAACTCATTTCTGTTAATTTCAATTTCCTCTGAAGAATAAGCTGGAATGCTTCTATAAACCACATGCTGCAATGCTCCATTGTTGTTGAGGTACACTTCACAGAACCCGGTCAGTAAAGGTTGACTCAGGCGTGACCTGCTCATGTCAACAGTTATCTGGCCCTGAACAAGAAAATTGCTTCCCAACACAGCAGCATACCCCAAATCTAAGTTACCAACCACTACAAAACTAGCATGCACTTCCCTCAAACCGGACACAACAACCAAACAAGAGAATGAACCCCGTGACCAAACAGCACCCCCAAGACCAACAATTTCTTGGACATTTTCATCCACCACAACATCTGGTGCAACACAAGATGCTCGAATCAAGCTTGATGATGTCCCCGAATCCACCAAGGCTTTGATTGTACTACCACCAACAGAAATATCAACTATCAATAAAGGTGCCGGCTGTGAAGCTGCACAATTGACTTCCACATCCCAGGGTATATTATGGTCACTCTTTTTGGTATAGTTGGGCTCCTGATTTCTACATTCTAAAGTGTCGCCCACCACTTCAGAACGTGCTAGTTTCCCAATTGGGATGACTGATGTGCATACTTGTCCATGTTGCTCCTCTCACTTGCAGCATTTTCCTTACTTTGGAATTGTACACGCTTCCCTGCACTCTTCCTCACTGAGCCATCCGCAACTGTCTGAAAACCTAATTTATTTTGTTGGTCCCCTCCACAGTGTGGACAAGCATGCAGATAATGTTCAGCAGAGCCACAGAGCAGACACTGGCCCAAGAAACGATGGCAGTTACTTTTTATGTGTCCCAGGTTTCCGCAATAATGACACTGAAAAGCAAGACTCCTGTCCTGCTCGCTAGGTCGGAAAAACTGTCCAGAGGCTTCCCGACTATGCTGCATAGGCTGACTTCTCCGGCCAGCAGCTCCAAAGCCTGAGTTTCTAGTCATGGCACTGACTGGCGACCTCCCTCCAAGGGAGTATGGGCGCCCAGGGATATAGCTAAAAGGCCCTGGAGAACTTACCCAAGCTACAGTCCAAGCTGAAAGTTTTTCCCCATCAGATGAATCATCTGTAGTAACGGCTCCTTCATAAGCGCCAACCAAGGCCACAATCTGGGACCATTTCATTTGCTCTTGTCCCATTGATTTCACTAGACTCATAGATCCACAGATGTGTTTCCTGTACTTTCAAGGAATAGATTTCAATAACTTTTCACGTAATGTCTCACTGTTTTGAATATTCTTCTTTGGGTAAGCAATTATGAACAGGTTGGCAAGACAAGGGGCAAAAAGCCTAATCTGCTCATTAGTCTCTCTACAAGCCTTGGCAAAAATAGTCTTACTACTGGACTCATGTCGTTCCCTAGACTCAGCATACCAATCCAGCAGCTTTTTCTTTACTGCCTCATAAAAGTCACCGGGGCACGATGGGCTATAAATGCCTGATGAGCACTAGCTGACAGGAAGTTACCCAACTCTCAGACCCAAGCAGATTTAGGACCTTTGAATGCATTCATGCAATATTCTTCATATTCTGCCAAGTACTCAGCAAGGGATTCTCCCCTCTCATGACAGTAAGGCTCTGGCTCGGGTATTGAGCGATTGTCAAGACGTTCCAACATACTAATGAACCGATCTTCCATCCCATGACTGGAACCAGCTCCCACTGCCGAACATGCAGCCCTCTTACCTGCCAACACTGGATGCTTTACTTTCCTGTCAATACCAGAGCTATTTGATGATGTTTCACAATCTGAAGATGGATCATCAGAATCACTGGCATCATTCAAGACTGAGTGTTACCTGAACTGGCAAAAAGCACCATCCTGCTTTTCATCTCACTGACAGCTCTCTGTGACTCAGCTGAAAGCTTTTCAATTCGTGATGGTGTTAGGCTACCCATTATCCTATATACCTGATCACACATTTCCTTGACAATATAAACTTGATCATCTCCAACTTGACTGCCAGCAGCCAAATGCAATGGAGCATCAGGGAGCATCAACTACTCCATCCCGCACCTGAGACAGAAGGCCACCATGCTTATGGGGTCTCTTTGGTTTCACCGACTGCATCATGCACTCATCATCTTGATACTTCCCGCCTGTTGCTTCATCCAGCAACCCACCATTTGTCGAGAGAACCATATCCATCCTGACACTCATAGCGCTCAGCTTAAAGGAAACAGAAGATGCAACCCAAAAATACCACAAGATGCACAGACCCACCAAACCTGAACACCTCAACCACAAGTCTGGGCACCAAAAATGTAAGGGGAGGCGTTCAGCCCCGGTAAGTTTAATATTTATATTAAAGAGGTGGATGGTACAGCGGTGGACAAGACTGGCATGTAAGGCTACTGAAACCACCTGCACAGAGCTTAGGGAAATATTGCGAGACTTATGTTAGCTCCAGAGACCAGGATGCAGCAGGACATAACAAGACTCATCAAAGTACATGCATTAGGTCTGAAAAGCCTAGCTAACCAATAATCCACATTCATGAGTCTGGAAAGAGAGGACACAGGTGAGTGGACAGAATGCATGGTGCAGTGACATAGATAATGATACACAAGCCACACCACTACAACGTCAATCATGCCACATTATTCGCGAATTGTGAGTGTTGGAATCGATCATCGGGCATCGGCCACTTTGATCGTACAATGCGTGCATCCATGTCAATCATTCCTCATCATTCGTGAATCATGAACGTCGGAATCAATCATTGGGCATCGGCCACATCAATCATAAAATGAGTACATCCATGTCAATCATGCCGCATCGTTTGCGAATCATGAACGTCAGAATCGATAATTGGGCATCGGTCACATCAATCGTAAAATGCGTGTAGCCGCGTTGATCATGCTGCATCGTTCTCGGAGCGTCAGAATCGATCATTGGGCATAGGCTACATCGATCGTTATATGCATGCATCTATGTCAATTATGCCGCCTCGTTCGCGAAGCGTGAGGGTCGGAATCAATCCTTGAGCACCGGCCACATCGATTGTACAATGCGTGCATGTGTGTTGATCATTGATCGTAAAGCGCAGGCATCTTGGTCGATCATTGATTGTGTAGCGTGGGCATCTATGTCGATCATTGAGCAACAGCCGCATCGATCGTGCAAGTGCGTGCATCATTGTCGGTCATCGAGCATCGGCGGAATTGATTGTAAAGTGCGCGTCAGTATCGATCATCAAGCATCAGCCAGAGATGCACTTTCGTTTTTCTAGCAAACTGGCAACTTTCTTTGCTGGCGTGCTGGCTTACATCCCAAAATGGGCATCCGGTGCATGCGCCGCACCTCCCAGACTGCTGCGACCGCGACGGGAGGCCGATGTATGGTCGAGATGGCTGATGAAGATACTCAAAAGACGCCAATGTAAGATCGAGATGGCCGAGAAAGATTTTCTAAAGATGCCAATATCTCGAGCTAAAACACCATACTCTACAGACTGGCTCACCCTGATGTTAATTGTTGAATCTACCCTCAAACGAGGTAATGAAGGATGGTTTTGAGCATTTTTTGGTAATAACTTCTCTCCATGAAACATATCATAAACAAGTTGAGGCTCATTTTGAAGGTCTTTGCAAGAACTATGGTATGGTATCTCTGAAAAAATTCCATAATTTATTGGTAAGGTGCCAGATGCAAAGTAAAAGCCTCCTAAATTACCCCAGGGACAGGGCAATAAGGGACACTTGAAATAAAACTTAATTTATAAGTATTTGAAGCAAGCAGAGTGTACTTATCGATTACTAACAATACTCTTAAGTCCTCTACCTTTGTAGATGATGTAGATGTAGAATAAATGACATTTTCTGTGATTTTTACATGTTTTTCCTTTATTGATATGATATTACCATATCCATACATTACCATATTATTGATGTGATATTACTGCATCCATGGACATGCCAGTAAGCATTTACAACAACCTTGTCCACTGCAAGCTTCGTATCAGCAGCCATATAGCATTTCTTCTGTATCTGTAAGCTTACAGGATGGCTTGTAATTTCACATTGGGTCGTTTTAATTGGCTACAGTGAATTCACTATAACGAAAAAAGATTGCAAAAAGATACCTGAAACAGAAAAGAATATTTTAGTGAAAACCATCAAAATTTTGGGAAAAATAAATCATAGTTTAGGTAAATTACTTTTCATTCTATGTTGCCTGGTGCACAATTCTATCTGACATTATATGCCCAATTTTGTGATGACCAATGATATATTGATTTTTAGCTAAATGAAATTTATTTGCTGAGCAAGGCAAAAGTAATCAAAATTATTTGTTTTTAATTGATTTATCCATCAACTGAAGCCTTTGCTAGCCCAAGATTCTACTGTAAATGTGTTTATAGGGATGTCCCTTATTACCCCAGGGGGGGTTGTACCCTATTACCCCATCTTGCAGAAATGGCTGCCATTTTTTAGGGGGATGTGATTTGCAAATTCTGTCAATCATGTTTTTAAGCCAACACCTGTCTGCAATTTTTATGTAAGTAAAATTTTTTAATACGCTGAATGTTTTAATACCCTGTTTGACGGTATACTAACATTCTGCTCATATTTAGCTCATGAGAAATTTCTCAATTATTGCTTCATTCACGAGTTTCTTATCCTGAAGTACAGAGTATTTATTGCATATTCCAGGAGCAAGTCTTGCAATTGATCTAAACATTCATAGTGTGTTTAGTGGCCAAGATTCTCTCTAACTACTAAACAAATATCAATTAAATGAAGTGCATGAACTTAGATTTTAGTCTGAATGGCGAAAAACTTTATTCAAATTGCTATCTATTTCCCCATGATTGCTGTGAGCATGAAATGTATAATTAGTATCCCACTAAATTGGCCTCATCTAAACAAAACTTGAGATGACAAGATGGAATCAAGAAAAAATGTTATTCAGATTTTAAATGGTGCTGCTATCATCAACAATAAGTTTCAGTCCATAAAGTTTCAAAGAAATTCATCAAGAATAAGGTAATATTTTGATTAATTGTTAATATTAAAACCATATTTTTGAAATAGAATATCAGTGATAATCATCTCATGTAGTTGTTTGATTGAAAGTTCCTGGTATTTTGTTGATAATAAAATTTCCTTTCACAAGTAAATGAAAAATGTATGGCTACTCTCCTACCTTGGGGTTAAAACTTGACAACCTAGTTAATCAGACTTGTTTATTTATGTATCATTGCATTATTTCTATGTTAAGATGCTATAATATTGGATTTATTTCAAGTGATGAATTCTGTAATCGCTTTTCATGTTTTCAGTTCATTGGTGCAATTGCGGGGCAGAAGTCAGCATTTGTGTGTGCTTGATGACGCAGGGGAGCACTTGGCCCTCTTAGAGTATCAGGATGAGCAAGCCAACACACAAGTGTTGCAGGAGCTTGTCAATATTCCTGATAAACTGCATCAAACTCCCATACATCAAGGTACTTCTCAGGGTCATCATCATCCCTGCAAAAAGAAGAAAGTAAACACCGGCATATTCACTGTCAATTTAGACAGTGGAAGGTAAGATTTTAGTTTTCTTGTTGATATGTTCAGATTCATTGTTGATAAAATGAGTTTATTTGTTGATGCTCTCAGATTCTTTGTTGATATATGCAGATTTTTTGTTGAGACACTCAGATTACTTGTAGATGCTCTCAGATTTCTTGCTTCTTCTCAAAGCTTTTATAAGACGCACTATCACAAAAATGAATGAAATAATGACCAGAGAATGCATTACAATTTTCAAGGAGTCTAACAATTCTTTAAATCACGTTGGTAGATCAAAAAGCAGATTTAGCAAGTAATAATGATATATTAACAACATTGCATATGTAACAACATTTATATTATGTTAAGCATTGAATAATTGAATTTTGTTGGACACTAGTACATAATATATAATATATAGGTATATGGGAAACCACACAAAAATTTTGAGCCAGAAAGTTTTGACATAAACTATCATATCATGAAATTTAGACAAATCCGGTATTTTGGAAATAGATAGCTGAGGTCCAGGACAAAATGACGAGGGTTCCAGCAGTCCTTGATCGGTTAATGTTGTGCACCTCTGCATGATGACAATGCTGGTGGCTTCTCCAGCACAGTGCAAGTGATGGTTCTGTGAGTTTGTCTCAAGGAGCTTCTCTGCCCTCTAGACTGAAGAGGGCAGGTGAGACGGTCTTGATGTTGTGGCTGTTAGTGTTACTCCAATGTAGTCCAAGCGATGGAGCCTACAACCTTATTTGAAGCAAAATTTATAGACTACACCAGCCTCTGGGGGAACTTCCGCTCTTTGGCAGGGACCATTGTTGAAAATACTCAGGAGTTCAACATTGTTGTCAAGGGTGTCAGCAAGCCTGTTAAATTCATCAGTGATCTTGAAATGAAATTGGTTTTTAGTATAATAATACTGTGGTTGGCAGTCCAATTACTTCAATGGAGTCCGAAATATTCTTGTTGGCTAAAGATATTTGATTTTCACTCAAAAGATCTTTGATCCAATGCATTTTCTGGTCATTCATTGTATGCATGTAAACAAAAAAATTCTGCCATGTTATAAAATAATAATATATATATTTGTTTATAGGTATATATTTGCAAGTCACACTATGTGGGAGAAGTAACTTTGTACCTAATTTCTAGTTAGTTGTGACAACAACCCTAGTTTATTGTGAATGAGAGACTTGCTCTGTTATACATATCATTATTTATATCATTATTATTTATCATACCATTATTTATATCATTAAAATTGAGTATTATACACTGTAGAATAGTTAATTGCAAATTTTTAGGGTACAGAATGTCATTTAGTTATAGGCTACACTTAGTTATAGACTTCCAATGTATACCTACATGGAAAAAGTGTGGAACGCACCAACAATGAATTGTTTAAATGTTTTGAACACACCTACAATGAATCAAACTAAAATTGGTGTACTCACTGCAGAGTAAAACTGAATCAATAAATGGACTTGGTAATTTGTATAAGTTGCACTTGCACTATAAATTCCTATGCATAATCAAGCAAAATATGTAAGAACAAATGGAAAGTAAATAGCAGTTGGGCTGATAACTGTAATGAATAGTGAGTAGCAAGTGAAGCACAAACGAAGTTGATTAGCTTGATTCGCATGAATCACAATTATATGAGACTCACAACCAGAATATATGGCATGTGAAGGCAGCAAAACTACTTGCAATCACCAACACCTGCAGCAGCTTTTTACTTAGCAATCCACATTGTAAGTAATTCTAAGCTTCAGTTGCTCTGCATTTAATCCATATTGCCATCATCAATCGAGATTAGGATTTATCATGACTACTGGCTACAAAGAACAAAGAAAATGATTACGTACCTATATAATAGAACTAGTATAACTAATTAGCAATACAGGAGTAAGAGCACATGGTTAGGCTGAAGACTTATACCTTCCTGCAACAATGTTATTACAAACTATATACTCTAGTTCTATTTATACAATCACTGTGATCTTCTAAATATAATAACATTTGTTTAATCTATTGACAGATGCAGCAATTTGGGCCTCCTGCAAGGTCGGTGCAATGCAGCTCACTTCTGCCCCAGCGCTCCACTTTTGGCTGTACTGCAGCCTCCATACCGCATCCACGTGTTCCACACAGGTCACTTCACTCGGTCTTGTTAAATATAATCATTGATGATAAATTTTAGCTTCCTCACATGGGTGGCCAACAATTTTTTTCTGGTTTCATATCAAACAGACTCCCATGTGTAAAGTCTTGTGCAGAAAAGTTATTCTTTAGAATTATTGAAAGTAATTAAGAGATCTGCCATAACACATTCAAGTATCTGAAATTATACAAGTTGTATTTAGGGTTGAGATTAGTATCTTAATTCATAGTTTTTAATCATCAATTTTTTTCACTTTTAATAATTCAAATTATGGGGCCCAAGTATCAGTGTTTGATTGGGAAGGTAGCACAGAAGTCACATAACAGAGGACATCTCACACAACTCTCCGGTTACTCAGCAGTTCTTGTGCTGAAAGGTTTATTAGCAAATCAATTTGATGTCAATAGTAATGGGTAGCTGTGTGTAGTAGTTGCTTGTGTCTGGATCAGTTGCTTCTTTTAGAAGTTTATTAGAAAAAACTTTCGATTGAGTGCAACTACCTGGTAGGTAGGTGAACTGGCACTGCATCACTTTTGGTTACAACTTAATTAAGTCTTTGGACAGTCGATGACTAAGTTCAATTCATGAGCAGTCTTCTGTGTAGCATTGCAGTCACCACCAGCATTCCTCATGCTTCCTGAAGTAGACGGGACATTTTTTTTCTGACAAAGTGACTCGAGATAAACAAGTGAAAAATTCACGATAGAAACGTTCTGGAGCTGTGAACTCAAATTTGTAGTGAACTCTTATTTGTAGTAAGCCAATGAAGATTTCCTGTAGGAGTTGCAATCTCCACAGACGGCTGGTGATAGTTCATTTCTGTGGGAATACCTATATTTTTCAACTGCTGTGTCAAATCACAGACGTGCCATATGCTGCTAGACTGCTGCCTCGCCATGCACATACTATATCATCCTTCTGATTCAGTCTTACTCTAGTTTTAAGAGGCAGCATTAGAATGCCTAGGCATTTTTCAATATCCTGGCTTATTTTATTGATTAACAGATTTCCATACACTGTTTAGTTGAGATTCGATAGCATTTTTATGGAAAACTTATAGCTTGTGGAACTGTTGATGTGAAATCGCATCAACACACATTAAACAATTAAAACTTAATCCACACCTACACCGAGTTTCATGCAGGCACACATGTTAGAGCTTATATTTTATCATTGTAATCAAACGACCGAAAAGTCACTATTATACAATTCTTAACTTCAGTGCAACAGAGCATTATTATTTTGTTAGCTTGTAGTGAAATGACTTGATAACAAGTATGTCCTATACAAAGTTGAGCTTTCAAATAAGACAAATGAGACATATAAAAGTCAACAATTTTGATCACGTGAAACAAATTTGCTTCAATGATCCAAAAAATCAAGACAGCCACACCGATGCAAAAAAGTTGCGGTCTTGACAACAAAACTGAATATTGAGTTTCTATCATAAAATGTTCAAGCTTGAATGTAGCTTTTCACTTGTAAGACTGTAGTAATTTAGAGTTGCTTGTTATAATTAAACTCTTGTATGCGCATTCTAACAGATTAAATATTTTTACCTTCAGAACTTGGAACTTGCTGTGAGGTCATTGAGTTCAGCAACATATTGCATGGGCTGGTAGGAATGCAGTGGCTGCCGAGCTCCCCAGATCGTCCTGTGTCATGCGAAGGCAGCGATGCAGTGTCCGCTTCACGTGGTAAGTCTGTACTAAACTCTAGCTAGTTCTACTCAGCTTATACATGATACTGCACACACATGTGCAGTTGTATACATATACACTGTAAAGATACACACTGTATACCTCCTCTCCTTCCTTGTATTTTACTTATGATCGACGATGTCTCGTTGTTAGTTGGTTTACACATCGAGTGTAAAAACCAAGATATTAGAGTTAACATCTTTACATCGACCTAGTCATTAAGTATGCGAAATCTCTTGTACTACATTTCTTTTATCATTGCAAGCATGCGTTACAATCAGAAGGGGAGTGTAGGGAAGAGTACCTACAGTGTATTTTGTGTGAAATTATTAGTATCTTTTATTAAATTAGTGGATAATGAAATAATGTTCTTGCTTATTATTTAACATCCAAAGATGTAGAAAAAGACTTAGTGGAAATTTTGTGTATGATGAATGAATAATTCAGTATAAGTATGTCTGATATAAATAAAACATATAGATTCTGTGCCTCTATTTTAGTCAATTTTTCGTTACAAATAGTTAGTTTTGCTAATTCACTAGCAATTATCAATAATATTATTAATAATTACTGATTATTCATATTATTTTATTGGATTATTTGTATTTATTTTTTATTATTCCGTATTTTATTTTATTAGATATTTTATTTTACATTATAGGTGACGTAAAGAAGGCCAGTCTCTCGCCTGTTCTTGGCTTCACTGAAAACGAGATCGTCGTGTTCCAGTCTGCCGCCCCCTCCCAGCGCCTCGTGGTGGACCATCTTGCATGGGTCAGTCTTGCAATCATCTTTCATTTCTTTAATACATTCAACGCTCATGCGTACTGTTTACAAGCTGAAGGAAAATAAGGCCCTGCATTTACAATGAGAATAATACGATTGTTTCGTTGTTGTAGTGAAGTTTCAGAAGTGTGAGTAGAGTTTGTTGTGTCTAGGCTGTGCCGGCGAGCGACTGTGTGGTCGTGGTGCTCATGGACGCTGGCGTGCAGTTCTGGAGTCTGGCAGCTGGTGGTAGCCAATCAAGTGCTAGAGGAGGTGCTGCTGCTGCTAGTAGGTTGGCTTCAACTACTGGTAGTGCTGCCGCTACCACTGCTGGTAGTGCTGCTGCTGGTTCTTCCACATCGCCGCAAGCTCTGTCGGCGGTAATCCCTCCACCAACAGGAGCGGCCTCATTTTTACCTGTCGTCGGCGTCACTCTTATGCCGTGGGTGTCTTCTGTCTTCAATTGAGAGGCAAAAGATTTATTAAATCAAAAGTTTTTGTATACGGATTAGGTAAAAGACGTACGCTGAGTGTATCATGGAAGGATTTGAGTTCTTTGTATCGTTGTTTCTCTGTGCTAAAAAATGCTTTGGCTATAGGATAAGGTCCTTGATTAGAACCAACCAAGAATCATAAGGATAAGGGCAACATATACCAACAGACTCTTGCATTTTTTATCTCCGAGTTTTTATCTCATTTTTTATCTCTTGCATTTTTTATCTCTGCTTATGATATCTCTGTGTCTAAAACGCAAATACACAACAGTGTGAGTAATTTGATCTGCTGTAATCCCAATTTCTTTCTTAATTTTGAAACGTTTTGTATTTGTTGAACAAAGAGATTTAGTTCGATGTTTCAGTTGACTATTGCTACGTGCAGGTGCGGGAGGGTGGTGGTGGTGGCCCTCCGCCACATGCGTGTGGTGGTGTGCAGCTTAGCGCACGCCTCGTCCAGTGTGGTGGCGCTGGAGGCTCCTCGTGACGCTCCTGACGTCAGCGGTGCTGCCGTGTGTGCCGTGACCGCCGTCGGGGTGCGGCATGAGACATGCAGCGAGGTGACTGAGACCTGTCAGTTACAAGGAACAATGGCGGCTGTTTGCTATGTTTTGCCTACCTTATGCATGTATTTATATCATTTCATTGATTAAATCTCTATTAAATCAAACTAAACAAGAATATTTGTTTAGTCTAAACTCACCACATACAGCGAGGTGACTGTGATTTACAAGGAACAATGGCAGCTCATAGCTGTATTTGTCTACCTTATGCATGTATATAAATCATTTTATTGATTAGATCTCAAACTAAACAAGAATTGAATATCACAAAAACTCAATATACAATTTTCAACGAAAAATTGTAGTAGTACAGCGTTGAATTTTTGAATTGATGATGTAGCTGGACTATACAACATTCTAAGGAAAATATGAAGAAGTTTTTGTAATTTTCTTTGCTTATCAATTCTTGATTCATTCCAAAGTTATATGTTTGGCACCGAAATTTGGAGCCTCTTGCTGCTAAATTTAACATGTTTAGCATGATTTTTTATGCTCACTAATGTTGATTGGTTGTCTTACAATGCTATTCTTACCTGAGTCGAGAATGGTATGACATGAAGTTGATGTTCTTTCTAAAGCGAATGTGCAGGAAGAATAAGAACTTTTGTTACTTACAGAGATTTAATGGGAACATTTATTAACTTGATTAGTTTTGCTAGTTCACGACTGTAGCAATACTCAGAAAGTGATGATATCTAACATGATGCAATATAATTTGTAACTAGAAATGGTTCTCAGCTACTCGAGTACTAGTAAGAACTAATGCTTGATTATAATTAATTGTAGTGAGAAGTTTGAAGGCTCGTTTGACTCTCAGCCGCCGTGGGCAGTTGCTGCTGGTGCTGGACACGGCTGGCCGGGTGCTGGTCTACGACGCGCAGTCCTGGACCTGCATTAAAACTCTACGGTCGCCCTCACTTAGGATAGGTGGGATGACACTGCAGCACCACGTCATCCTTGTAACTTAGGATAGGTGGGGCGACACTGCAGCACCACGTCATCCTTGTGACTTAGGATAGGTGGGGTGACACTGCAGCACCACGTCAACCTTGTAACTTAGGATAGGTGGGGCGACACTGCAGCACCACGTCAACCTTGTAACTTAGGATAGGTGGGGCGACACTGCAGCACCAGGTCAACCTTGTGACTTAGGATAGGTGGGGTGACACTGCAGCACCAGGTCACCTTGTAACTTAGGATAGGTGGGGCGACACTGCAGCACCAGGTCAACCTTGTGACTTAGGATAGGTGGGGTGACACTGCAGCACCAGGTCTACCTTGTAACTTAGGATAGGTGGGGTGACACTGCAGCACCAGGTCTACCTTGTAACTTAGGATAGGTGGGGTGACACTGCAGCACCACGTCAACCTTGTAACTTAGGATAGGTGGGGTGACACCGCAGCACCATGTCCATCTTGTAATGCTCCATGAGGCTCACTTTTTCAACTTTCGAGTCAATTATCCGATGAACTCACACAGTACCATACTACATAGATTCGCCAGCGGTACTCTAAATGTAGTAATAATTATGAAGTGGCCTTTAATTATAAATTCCTTTGCTTGCGAGGCAAGACTGCGAATTTGACTTGGTCAATTTGAAGTATTCTCAGCATCGCCTCTCGTCCACCAGAAAGCTTCAGCACAAGCAAGAACGGTGAACTGCTCAGCCTATCTTACAACAACCACACGACAAAGCTCTACCGCATCTGCAACCTCCTCCAGAAGCTTCCATTGAAGTCTGCGGGTAATTCTAAGCAGATTTCACTGTTCACTTTGGCCTCAAGGCTTTCTGGCATCGCGTTGACTCTACCAGGCCATTTTGTGGCTTAGACGAATCATGAAGCATGGTAGCCATTTGACAGCTGAGAAAAGTGGAACCTGCGACTTTAGGAGTCGTTGCTTTAATAAACCTTAATTACTTAAGAAAAATGTACACATCATTCATCATAATGCTTGCTATCATAGTTGAGACATCAGCCATCACTATGTTTGCCATCATAGTTGAGACATCAGCCATCATTGTGCTTGCTATTATACTTGAGACATCCGCTATCATACTTGAGACATCCGCTATCATATTTGAGACATCAGCTATCATGGTTGAGACATCAGCTTATTATGGTTGAGACATCAGCCATCATTGTGCTTGTAACGGCTCCTAAATTATTCTACTCGTCTCAGTTCGGGAGCTGTGTGATGTGCGAATTGCATAAGGTGGAAATGAAGCTCAAGACTTAATCAGTGTTTCCTTACATTTCTGTGTCGAAACCTGCATGTACAGGATTTTATTAGAGTGCTAAACATACAAGACAGGGAGATCATAGCATAAAAATTAATTTAATAAAGTCCCAGAAGGGTGCTGCTCAGACTTGAAGCGGAACATTCCATAATCTTCGTGTATGAGAGTGAACTGGTGACATGTCTTGTGTCAGATATCCGCAGTGGCGAGGCTGCAAGAGTGTGTGCGGTTCACTTTGATGAAGACTCCAAAGTTGTGACTGCATCTCGCCCTCCTGATCCACATCGCAGGAAAAGTTGTCTTAAAAAAATTGAGGTAAGGATAAGCAGCCTTGTAATTTGTTATGTTTTTAATCCAGCATCTCGTTCCATGGTTTTGGTCCTGTCACCTAGTGATTGAAAGTCTCATTAAACTACAATCCATTTTACTAACAGCCCTGCAATAGACCAGAGACACACACTATTTACTCTGTCTGCTATTATTCAGTTTCGTCTTCGGATGCTCATTGTTATTTTAAATTACTAAATTTTTTTATCCAATGCTATGAGGAGTCGGAAACCTCCCATCAACGCCTTGGTCTAGCAAATGCACTGAAATTCTTATCTCGGTGAAGAGTTCGTTCTCTATAATCTTTCTCTACCTGAACATTCCCCAGTGCCGCTCAGTGGCACTGGAGAATTTTGTAAATTCTTATACGAGGAAATTTCGTGAATTTCTTCGAGGACATATTGGTTGAGTATCTTAAACTAGTTGAATCACAACAAATTGCTACCATTTCCAATGGTGATACTGTCTAAGTAAATTGCTCATATTTCATGCCTTGGCAAAACCCAGGCTTGGTCTCCCGAACCAGATTTAAATTAATTCGTTTACACTAGTCTAGTTTCAGCTCTTCAAGCTCAATATTTTATGCGCCATGCATTCTCCTTTGGAATTTCTTTTCCAAGCGTGCCACATCGCACCCTGCCTGGCGACGAATGCTGGCGGAGTTTGGTAGCTTCCCGCACGAGGAGCGCGCTGCCATCTGGTGCGGACTGCTGGCCCTGCCGCGCTGCTCCGCCATCCACACCAACCTTTGTGGCAAAGCCATGCATCCTCAAGTGCCCGAGTATGAGGCCATGGCCGACAAGCGTCTCAGAGACTCCTTCAGAAGGTGCCTCCGCCATGCCCACTATTCCTTCTAATGTGTTCACCCTTCAGTGAGGCATCTCACTTGTATTGACATCTTTATATCGTCTTGGCATAGTTTGGGTTCATTAATCAGTTAATAGTTTGATGTTCAAGATGAAATCTGGATTATTCAAGTTGAGCTAGTTAATTCTATATCGATCTAGTCTGCTCATAGCAATAAGTAATTTATTAAAAATAAAATCGTATGACGGAAAGGCCAAGAATTATAGCACCATCAAAAAAATTAATAGCAAAGTAACGCAAAGCAACGTTGGTCACTTGTGTGTGCAGAAGTTTGTCGTGCCTGTACTACTGGGCGCCGCAGCTCGTCTCTTACTCTTGGGTGCCAAGCTTCGTGTTCCCCTTCGTCAAGAGCCTCCAGCACGCCCCTCTCATCTGCTTCGAGCTTTGCGTTGCCCTCATCAGTATGTCATGTCTGATTTGTTCGGTTCTTTGAATGCAGGTGTTGTCTGATTGTACTTTTATGCTGGTCCGATGTCGTGTGTATTGCCAGTAGCACATGTTTGTGTTGCAGTGTCGTGGTGCCGGCTGTGGTTCTCACCAGCACATGACAAGGTCGTGTGTGTTGCCAGTAGCACATGTCTGTGTTGCAGTGTCGTGGTGCCGGCTGTGGTTCTCACCAGCACCTGACAAGGTCGCGTGTGTTGCCAGTAACACATGTCTGTGTTGCAGTGTCGTGGTGCCGGCTGTGGTTCTCGCCAGCACCTGTCAAGGTCGCGTGTGTTGCCAGTAACACATGTCTGTGTTGCAGTGTCGTGGTGCCGGCTGTGGTTCTCGCCAGCTCCTGACAAAGTCGTGTGTGTTGCCAGTAACACATGTCTGTGTTGCAGTGTCGTGGTGCCGGCTGTGGTTCTCGCCAGCTCCTGACAAAGTCGTGTGTGTTGCCAGTAACACATGTCTGTGTTGCAGTGTCGTGGTGCCGGCTGTGGTTCTCGCCAGCACCTGACAAGGTCGCGTGTGTCGCCCTCAACGTCGTCGAGGCGCTCGTCTGCAACGCGTCGCCGCGGCTCATGGCAGCGTTCCTGCACGCGCGCGTCACGGCCGCCACGTACGCGTGGCCGCTGCTCTCCTCCGCCTTCTCGCAGGTGCCCGCTTGGAGTACAATATTTGTGTCCAGTATTTTGTGGGGTTCTTAATATCGCTTGTTTCGTGTTTATTTACAGTAATATTAAATTACTGTTTATTGCAAGTCGTGTGCGCCGGGACTATGTTCTTAAAACATTGAATTATTTTATCCTGGACGTGAATATTTTGCTGTATAAGTTGACTCGTTACGAAATTATATCTAGTCTAAGTCGTTTGATTAATTTACAAGTTTACTTTTTATTTTTAAATTTTCGTAAATCAAATTCCGAAATTGAAGAAAGGGTTTTTATAATTGGTCCTTTTTTGTTGTATAATACAGAGCAACGGATTTCTATTAAATGCTAACATTTTCTAAAATCAAACCGTTATCAAATCCATGTACGTTCATGGAATGAGTTACTGAGCTTAGTGAGCTATTAGGGTGTCTTATTAATTACAATGCAGTGTTGGTAAGTGCCACAATATTGGACAGGTGCTCTCCGCTGAGGACTGGCTGGTGGCCTGGGACCATCTGCTGTGCGAGTCCCCCTCGTACCTCCTCTGCTTCACCGCCGCCTTCAGCCTCTGTCTCGCGCCCTCCATCACCGCCGCTGCGTCGCACCCTCATCAGATTGAGGTGCATTATTTAATCATAATCTTTACTTAATGCAAGAAATGAAGGCTATTATTTCCTTTGCTGATGTTTTGTGCTTCACGTATGGAGCTGGTGACGGCTTTACAGAAACGTAGTTTAACGTTTTTTCTGTACACGCCTTCATTTCATGGGTGATCTATGATAACCAACTTCATATGGTCGTTTCCTTGTTGGGTCAATTACTTATTCCATTATACATGTTACTTCGTTCATATGTTGCGGAGGTTGATCCGAACTATGATGTCGATGCAAATAACATTGTTACCGTGCCACACACATACACAGCTTATAACGTGTGCTTGTTAGTGACGAACTAATTTTTTTTTAACGCAAACCAAGTTATTGAGCAACTAATAAGCATTGTCTCATCTAAAATTTATCCTGCTAATCTACTACGGAATTAAATTTTAAAGATTAATGTATTCTTCAATTTTTTAATATTTTTCCTATTCGAAATTTTCGATGTTCCCATTGGCATGGTTCTTGAGCGCCTTGCCCTCGAACCTCGTAGTGTCTGACTGCAGGTCTCAGTGGTGGGGCTAGGTTGTTGTGTTGCGGCATTTCTTGCATAGTTCTTCTATTACTTTCTCTGTCCCTCTTCTTATGTTAATTTCTCTGCCTCACTATAGCTGTCATCTCGTATGAGTAACCTCTGGTACGAGTGTCTTGTCCGGTGTGCTGTTTCTTATCTTCTTCCTGGCATATAACCGCTGGCTTATTCTTGCTCGCTTGCTATTTTCCATCTGCCAACTCTTGTTGGTGAAGAATTATTATGATTTACACAAACAATTTGACCATCCTACTGCGTCGGCGACGAGTTTCTACTCACAGCGCCAGCTAGCTTGATTCGCAAGGCTAGGCTATTGTATCCATTATATTACACCTTCCTTTGTACCGGTTTTAATTCGTCCTGGCAGTAGGCTTTTTGTGTCCTTTATTTCTCTAGAAATTCTGTTCCCTCTGTTGCAGACTTTGTACAACCAGGAGTCGTACGTGCCTCTGCGGTGCGTGCTGAAGAAGGCAACGGAATTGCACAGAAGCATGCAGCTGGACGAGGAACTCCTGCTCAAACTGGACCACATTTCTGAGTACCCTCGAGACGGACTGCCCATCTTCGACAGCATACCTGACATGCAGGTATGCTTCATTGTCTACCTGCATTCTCGCAACTATAATGCACTGCCCTGCAATAACTGAAGCTCCATGTCATGACAAGTCGTCACTTAGTGGCTAATTACAACTTAGCGGCTCCTGAGCTCTCCTCAGTCATGATAGCGAATCTTGTTTAGGAAATAAGGTTATGGGCTCTTTTCTGGTTAATTTGATCTCCAAACGTAGATTGAAGGCATTTATTGTGAATATAAATCCTAGCACATCAAGCAGAGTGAAAACTGTTCCTTTTTAATGAATGAATGAACAAAAACCGCTAAAAAATATTCATGTTAACCCATTAATGCTGAGCGGTTCCCTTTGGAACCAGCGGGAAAAATGGATTCATGATAAAATCGAATGATCAAATAAATATACAAGTGGATGCGTAGGTTTGATACACATCTTGTACATGTTCTGGCAATGTTTGGCTCTGCTGCGCCGACTACTCCCTGCTTAGCTAACATTCAAAGATTATAAGAACCAAGTGTTAGACAGGACGGCTTGATATCATAGCGGAGAAAGATGAGTAATTTATTCCAAAAATATATTATTTTTGAGTCAGATGCAGAATTTTATCGATAAAGTGAGTACTTTCAATGCTGTATTGAGGTATTGCGTGATACAATGTTTCTAAAGTCATTTAGATCATGAAATATATAGCCCGGCTCCAAATGGGGCCAAGCTATAATTTTTCACATACAATGAAAAATGAATATTTGAACATATTTTTCATTTATTACCATCACAAGTGATAATATTTTCACAGGAAACCAAAGAAAAATACAGAAAATAATTCTCGGCATTAATGGGTTAACATGTCAGTGCTTCTTAACAACGTCAAAGCATATTCTTATGGTATATGAAATCTCGTGATAAAATTATGTCCAGAATTATTTGAATTAAATTTGTGCAGTTGACTAATGCTGTGGGCGAAGGAGGCTTCCTGCAGAGCCTTGGCTGGTCTCTGGATGAAGGTTTGACACGCTAAATTTTGTTGATGCAAATCCTTGTTGAGTTTACGTGGAATTATTGCGTGATTTTCGTACCGTTTTTTATGGAAATAATTTATTGATTAGCGCAAATGCTGCGATGATTTAAAGCTATTTTTGAGTTTTATTTGTGTAAGTGCTGCAAGAGAATTGATGTTTGTCAAAGAGAATTTGCTAATAATTGTTCCTGCGTCCGAGGAAGCAATAGAGTAAATAATTATTTATCTTCAATTCCTTCAATTAAAGATTCAATAACATCAGATTCTTTTTTTTTTCTTTTGAAGGGCTCTATGAAATTGAACTGTCATTTTTATATGTTATTCACTTTTGATTGATATGCATCACAATTTCGAATCTGAGCATCATTGTTAATAAAATTCTCAGCCTCCAACAAAGACAAATTCATCCGCCATTTTGAGATGTATGCAAGCGAAATTTGTCGTGCACGTTGTTCATCATTAACTTTTATAATATTGAGTATTACTTATAAGTATTACTTTAACTTTTACAATATTGAGTACGGTGCTTTGGTTTGTGCAGAAGAGTTTGAGCGGCAGCGAGCAGCGTTGCAGGAGCAAGAGGCGGACTGCATAGCGCGCATGAGACGTGTCCGGCAACGAGATAAGCAGGCGCTCTGCAGTTACTGATCACTTCACTGCTAACTCGAGCGAGCGTTTATTTGTTTGAGTGATGATACGGGATGCCGAAGTGACCGGGGTCAACTCAAACTGCCTTGAACCAATGAAGAACAATACCTAAACCAAAAAAATATGTATATATCGTAAAAAAACACCTGAAGTAGAAAGGAATATTTTAGTGACTATCATATTTTTTTGAGAAATAAATCATAGTTTAGGTTAATTACTTTTCATTCTATGTTGCCCGGTGCCCAATCTATCTATGACATTATATGCCCAATTTTGTGATGATCGGTGATGCATTAATTTTTCGTTACGTGATATTTTTTACTGAGAGAGGTAAATTTAATCAAAATTCTTTGTCGTTAACCGATTTTTTTTTAACCAAAGCCTTTCCTAACCAAGGTTCTGCTGTAAATGCTTTTTTAGAGGTGTCCCGTATTACCCTCGGGGGGTGTCCCTTCATAACCCATCTTGCGGAAATGGCCACCATTTTGTTTTATATTGAGATGCTCAAATTCGGTTATAAAGTTTTAAAGCCAACAACAGTCTGCAAGTATTATTTTAGCGAAATTTTTTAATACGGGCAATATTTTTTACTACAAAACAGAAGTACGATTTCAAAATCTCACTTTTTGACATTTTTTCCGTGGATTTTTTTAGAGCTAGTAAATCTATGATTTCTTAATTTCAATTATGCTACATACATAGTAAAAATGTTGAAGTTTACGCCACTATTGTTAGTTTTGCAATATTTAAATTAATTTCGCTGCTATAACATTTTTACGCCGTGGCGGAGGAACTTCCCGATTCACCCCGCCCGTGCCTTATTACCCCGTTTGACGGAGAATCATTCGTGAGACGATCAGACAAATAGATTTTTTCTTATTTGAAGATTCTTTGAATTTGAACATCTACGTTTCTTGTTCATTGATTTGTACTGCAAGCATCATGAAATATAAATTCATATTAACGTACTTAACCGAACTTTCTCCTCGCCACTGCTACACTGGTTCTTGGCCGGAGATCATAGTAAGCGTGTAACGACCTTCTAAACTTTTTGCAGTGACACAACTAGATTATCCCTGCAGGATTATGCCCAACCACTCGAAATAAGTTTGCATTTGGTAACATTTCGTGTCCATGAGATAAAGATAAACCCCATGAGTTCTCATGAGATAAACCCAGTGAAGTATGTAAGGTACCGTTAACCCACCACCGCCGCATGTCACTCTCCGGGAACAAAACTTTTAACTTGAATTATACGTAAACTATTGGGTGTGGCAACCTGAGGACGTTAGTACGCAATAGTGAACATTTTAAAGTTGTCGTACGTGGCGGCAACCATCAGTGCAAGTCATTTTGCGCTTACTAGAACGTATTCTTTTTTGAAAGTAAGCTTGTGACAATATTGCCCCGGTTACTCATGTCAGGTGGTAGAAGGTCAATAAATATGAAGCGACGTGTAGCAGGAAAGTAAAAAAAATTATCGACTTGAATTATCTTGGATTCAGGTTACAAAACTTGATGAACTGGACGTCTACCTATTGTGATTAGCTTCCATGCACAATCACATGATATTGAAGTTCAAGTTAGCGTAAGTAATCAGCAAATGACCAGAAATAGCTGTATGAAACTATGAAATGTATCTAACTTGGATGGTAGTTCCATCACGAAGAGTTAATAAAACAAAATATGTTCAAAATGAATTGTTCCATTTTTTAAATTTAATACCATTACATGAACAAAACACAATTAAGATTGGTCAATTGCCGGACTTCCAGGACATAAAACCTACTGTACAATGCTTACAACAAGACAAATTGAGACTAAGCGTACCGCTTTGTTACTGGTCTCTATTTTTGCACAAAAAAATAAGTTGTCATAAATTAACCTTATTTACAATAGTTGAACTTCCGTTTAGTGCGCACGAAGGTACAAGAAAAAATAGTGAAAAAATCTACCTTGCTTACATCCTGTATCTTAATCGAATTTCCTCTTTAAACAGTTTTGGGAGACTGACTCTTCACAATTTTGTCGTATTACGCGTCATGTTCACAGAATAGTGCTTTTCGAATGCTTTCCTATGCTTGTCCTAACACAATTACGTATCTAGTATGATACCGGGATCTTCCCTAGAAAAATGATCGCGCGTCATTAATCGATTACTTCTCCGTGGACTAGTTGTATTTGGTGAGTCGTCAAGCATATCAGGGGGACCAGTGTCCACATCGGTCGTAACTCCATCGCAGTTTCTTTGTGATGTTTGGGCTTTAGACTCGTGGTTAGCACTTGAGGTTCTAGCTTCTGTGCTGTTTTCGTGCGTCATGTCATTTGTTGACACTCCCTGAAGCAGTAAGACTTGCGGAGAATAATTGGAATCGCTCGACTTGGCTGAGTTCGTTTCGTGATGTTCTGTATGGTTGGCAGGGTCCGCTGCAGCAAGTCTGTTCCCCTTCAATGCTGTAGGAACTTCCATAACCCGGCGAGGCTGGAGGGCAGCACGAGGAACATGGTCCATGTCTTCCACTAGTCCACCTAGTGCCATGATACCACCAGGCTCCGCTGCAGCAAGTCTGTTCCCCTCAAATGCTGGAGGAACTTCCATAACCCGGCGAGGCTGGAGGGCAGCACGAGGAGCATGGTCCATGTCCTCCACTAGCCCGCCTAGTGCCATGATACCACCGCCGGCGTTTTCCTCTACCGGGTCATTGTTGTAGAGAACCTTATGGCAGAGCGGACACGAATCCTGTACGTACAGCCACTTGCGCAAGCATAGCTCGTGGTAGAAGTGATTGCATCCCGTTATCTTTGCCGAGTTAAGCCTTTGGAAGCAAATCGTGCAGACATCATCATGTTCTTCAAGTTGTCGCCTTGTGGCATTTGGAATAGAAGCAATTCTTCTGACCGCGTTCCTGCGTTTAATGAACGCTGACCAGCCATTCCTGGCTTCGCACCAGAGATTCACATACGCATGTATGCACATCATGAGTGCGCGAATCGCGCCTCCAGACTCGAAGAAGTATATCCATAATCCATTGAAAAAGAGCACAATACCAAAGAGGAATTCAACAGTGTTACCAAAGGCTTTGATATAGTACACATAGTCATCTAAGTTTTCCCAAAAGAGACTGTAATATGAATCTGCTATGAAAATTCCATAAATGAATACCGTAACTAGCGTTTTGATGATGACCTGGAAAGAGAAAGTGGAAACGGCAAGCAGCCAAGTAGAGAGCTCGAAAATCGACCAGAGAACATAGAGGAGCGAGGCAGGCAAGAGCAGCAGCACGGCACACACAACGAGAGCACGAACATGACGGCTGAGCGACGGGTTCCGTGAGGCGCCGAGGTTCATCAGCACGGGACTAACCATGTTGTGCACGAGGTACAACATCGCAGTGAACAACAAGCAGAAATTCCTGCATAGACGTACGAAGCGCTTTTCATCCTCAAGAATAGTGAGGCCACTTTGCTCTGCAAGAACAAAAAATAGGATAGCGCTCACCGTTCCCATACTTCGGTCATCGCGGTCATCCGCAAGGAGAATGTTTTGAAAGAACTCCTCGACATAATGACAAATGTAGGAAACAATACTTGTCATGCCTAATAGAGCAATGATGGTATCGCAGCCGTATGTCATAGTTGACTTGAAGAGTCTGTAGCACATTGAAGGACTAAGCAACATGAGAACGTTATAGGTATTCAGCTCCTGCAAGTGAGCAGCCAAGAAGTAAGCTACAAAATTTGCAACTCTCACGCTCCAAAATATTCTGAGAACGAAGGGGACATTTATTCTCTTCCATTCTAACTCGATGAGTGTGTGCAATCCGCCATCAGGAATTACCACCTTAGCATAAGAAATGGCATCCTCGAGTACAAGAAAAGCCTGAGGCAAGCTCGAGATGACCGTGAACACGAGACGGGTCAGTGGGATAAGCGCCCCAACAAAGGCTACAGATAAAGTTATATTCTCAGAGAAAGTTACAAGCATGGAACCAGAGGGTAAAAGGAAAGCCCAGATCATGACAGCTTTCAGGATGAGCATGTCGTCTATCCCTAGCTGTAGGTGGATGAAGGAGAGACACAGCAGCGCTTGAATGATGTAGTTGGTGACGAGAACTACAACGTGAGCAGGGGCGATTTCAGTGCCTCCTAATCTCAGGAGGTTCTCGAGACCTGATGGCGCGTCACCGTCCAGGGACTCGTTGAAGAAGAGGTGCACGGCTGAACAGTTGATGTGGTAGCTGAGTGCAATGCACACCCCGCAACTAAAAATGTTGTACAACATCTTCAGGTGTTCCCAGCTCAGCATGAAAGCAATGAAACTATTCAGGAACACTGCAAAAAAATAAACTCGCTTAGAAATCAATCAAGCCAATGATGTCAGACACTCAGCTTAGATATCAGACATCCAGCTTAGATATCAGGCACTCAGTTTAGATATCAGGCACTCAACTTAGATAACATGCACTCAGCTTAGATATAAAACATCCAGCTTAGATATAAGGCACTCGGCTAAGATACCAGGCTATTAGTTAAGATATCCAGGTTTCAGCTAAGGTATCAGGCACTTAGGTTAGATATCAGGCATTCAGCCGAGGTCCAGACATTCAGCTGAGGTCCCGGCATTCACTCAGTTTTCAGGTATAGTCTAGCAGCACTATGTTCAGATATCAGGCAGTCAGCTTAGGTATAGTAGGTTCTCAGTCCAGATATTTGTAACTATGTATTTTACATGCAAAGCGCTTACCTAAGGTTCTTAACTCTAATTTACAACTAGGATGCTCACCTAGAATAAACAGTGATATCTTAAAAAGGAGCGGCACAAGTGGTGTTGCCGCCATGGACATAAGTAGAGGCTCCTGTATGGTGTTCCCAGGGATGAAGAAATACTCGTGAGTTGCATCACTGAAGACTTTTAGTATGCTTCTCTCTAGGTCCATCCCCTCTCTGCCATATGTCTGCCCATAGCTTGACACATCCACTGAGTTGGTGGGGAAAGCCTCATGAATGTTCTGGAGGCTTCCCTCTTCAAGCACTGAGCTGTCATTTCTGAAATCAACATGAATGATTAGAAACTGATGGTGCAAATGTATTTAAGGGCTTCAATATTAATATATACTCTAGGGCTGAAAAATTAAGTTATACTGTTGTCTTTCAGGCTTGAAAAACTCTGTAACATAACCTATAGCCAGAAAATTACCAATTATTTAATATTAGAAATTTTGCTAGCCACATGATAAGACCATTTCACATTGCTTATAAATATCCAGATTCTACAAAGATTTAACTTGAAATAAATTTTGTGTCTTCAGCAAAGAAAAACCGTTTTATGCTTATTTATCATAAACCATAACATAGGTTACAAAATAATATATGTCTATAGCAACATATTTGATTGAATTTTTAATAGTATTTGAATAAAATCAGTGACATTGAGCAGGCATAATGTTCAGTTCAGTCATTATGGACCGATAAGATTTTTTTAATATTCATATGAGTGATATTTTTTTAATTATAGTCCAACTGTAATCCTGATAATGTTTCATACATTGAAATGAATTTTCAAGAATAATTCCAGGTTGACAAATACATTTATTGAGAACATAGAACAAGAATCAAGTTGAAAATAACTCAAAAATATCCCAAATTTCATACTATCAGTCAAAATATGTCTTCTGAATAATGCTTATGAAAACAACTCTCTGCAAACAGGATTATTTCAAGATCTATAATGGGTTCAGTTGATAACGTGAGGGAATAGAACAGTGTGGCAGTCTAGGATAAAGCATAGAGTTTCTGTCATCTTTGGACTGATGCATGTCCATCTTCAGACTGTGATTGATTGTTTGATGGCCTTTCCAATATGCCATGTGTACTGGTTAATTTAATACCGATCTAGAATTCCACACTCAGGGTGCGTACCGATCATAGAAAATCTGGAATGTCCTGGAATTTAATTTTTCATTTTCCGGGCCTAAAAATTACTGGAATTTCATTTCAGATTATGGAAAATACTGGCATTTGCAAATAAATAAAAAAGGAAGCATTTTTCTGTGCTGCGCGTGTTAACCCTAATCGCCATGGGTTGTCATGTCACGCAACAACCTTGGGTGCAAATGATAGGTATCTGCTCTTAATTTTGTTAAGTCTTTTTTAGGTGTCTTCTATTATACATACACTGTGATTATTTTACCAGGCATTAATATAGATTGTTTCCTATCAAATGCAGTCTTCAAATGCACAATTGTGAACTCCAATCCATTTTTGAAAATTATGAGAATGAACTGAATTTCTGGCCTCAAGCAGAGCCATCTCCGTTTACAACAACTCCAACCGCTCGAACTTGTGTCTATGTTAACCATGGGGAGGAGACTGTAAGTCATTCACGTGTGCATGTGACTGAGAACACGTGCATATTTATCGCTGGTGCATGTGCAGCTTCAGCACTGGTGCACCTCCTGCATCCTCATCACTAGTTTCTCTCAGTTTCTTTGTTCCTATAGTTTTTTTATCTCATTGTCTGTGACATCATTGCCCACCATTGAAAGAACTGCATGAAATGAAACGCATTAGCGGAGCGCAAAGCTTGAGTAGCGGAGCGCAAAGCTTGAATAGTGGAGTGGGAAGAAGGACTGTACGGAAGCCAACAAGACACAGTTAAAGAACTGTCTCAATTTGCTTGTTGATGCCAAGAGATTCCCTAACACAGATTTGGATGGTGTTGTGGATGAGATGTGCAAATTTAGAGATGAATCACAACATTGCAGTGAATTGAAGGTACAGCTTCAAGCATTTTCAACTTGGACAGACACTTTTTGGCATGCCACCCTGTCAAAGAGCACCTACAAGAAGCTCTGGAATGTAGTGCAGATGCTCATGCTCCTGTCTCATGGCCAAGCCACGGTTGAAAGAGGGTTTTTGTTCAACAAGGAAATCATGGCGCACAACATGAAAGAGCAAACGTTGGTTGTCCTGCATGCTGTGGTTGATCATGTTGCACATGTTAGTGGCCTGGACAAGATGACCATCACCAAAAAGATGCTGCTTGCAGCTGGTAGTGCTAAAACAGCCTACAATACTTATTTGGCAGAAGAGAAAGAGCAGAATGCAAAGGCCCAGAAAACCCAGAAGAGGAAGGCTCTGTTGGATGAGCTAGATGAACTGAAGAAGAAGAAAAGGCATAAGGAGGAGGGCAAGGTGCTTGAGCAAGCAGCAGATGAATATGCAGAAGCATTGGAGAGAAAGGGGGATTTGAAAATCATCACAAAGTTCAACGCCATGAGGTGATCTTTGAAAACAGAGCAACAGGAGCTAGACACTCTTGAACTGAATATTAAAGAAAAAGTTGATGAAATAGCTGCCAGTTTAATGTTAGGGTAGTAGTGTTGAATCGTGTTCTGGACTGTATTGACATTATCATGTGCAATATTGCATGCATTACTCAATATTTGTTGTGATTTGACACTATTGAATTCATAATAAAAGTGTGGGCTTGATTTCCGGATTTGTCATTTTTGATCCTCTGTGTCTGCCTGCTCTATGCATTTACACGTGTTCTAGTTATCAACTAGGTATAGGAGATGATAGAACATGCACAGTTACCCTTTCATTCATGCTAAACCTGTCATATACAATAATACAAGTCCTGAAAAATTATACTGATGATCAGGGAGAGTCCTGGAAAAGTCCTAGATTTTTTCTCAATATTGGTATGCACCCTGCACACTGGAATAGCTTTTTATTTTTCATCTTCTTGTTACCATTCTCTCTCTCCAATGCATTACTTTTTGTTTTAGATAACTAATGAGGCAGTTTGTTTTTTAAGGGGACCGGGCTGCCCCCGGAGAAACTTCTACAGTTATTATCCGATCATCATGAAACTTCACATACATACTTAAAATGTAAAAAGAAAAACATTTTGCTCGTATGAATTTTTCGAAAAAATTGATAGAAAACGTGAAATTCATAGAAAACGGCTAAAAAGGGGTTGCCCTTCTTTGGGAAGCTGTCACGAAATCATTTTTCGACGTAGAGGGATGATTCTGGCACCGTTGGATGCGTCAAAAAGTAAGCTTTAAGATGAGCCCAAAAAGTGGAAAACGCCAAAATTGAAAATTTTAGCCAGGTCGGTCCCCTTAACAGATCACACCAGATAATTGATAACAATTTATGATGAATGATTAATATCAGTCTTTATCAGGTAAATTGAACATCATTGACAACCATCATTCAACTATTAATTTATATTTGAAATTATTATTTATATACATACATATAATTCTTTATGTTCCAGTCCAGAGGCCAAGAGACTTACATGAATGTGCACAGTATTTTAAAAATTTTCCCTTTACCAACTTTCATGTAATATGACTTTTTATTTTGTAAAGGTGCTCCTGCACCTGTGTAACATCAGCTGATGCACCCAATACTTTGTCCATACCAGAGACTTGGATGTATAGGTATAGTGGCAAAGCAGGGACAATTTTAGACTCATCCTCAAGTTCATGTTTGAGTCCTACTCCTATGAGTAGACCAGAAAAGTACAATCAAAACCAACATTATAATACATTAGATATTGGTTTGAATCTTGAGTAGACAAGGAAATTAAAAATGAACTGATTTAAAAAATCTCTCATTTGCCACTATGCAGTTGCAGCAGTTGGACCAACTGTGAAAATATAGCCTAGTTATTACTTAACCAAATTGATATAATTGGACAGAAACTACTTGTCAATGATTCACTCAATGAGACCAAAATCCCTTAACTGTGGTCTGGTCAATTGCATTTGTTCTTATGGCCTCCAACTTATTTTGTTTATAATAATTAGGAAAAACAGCATATTTTTGTCTTTGATTCTCAAAAATTACCCACAAAATGCCTTCCATTAACCATATTTTTTTTTAATTCTGCCCATTATTGCACAATGGTTTCTATAAGAAATTAAATATTAAAACTTGCACATAGATATTAAAGCAAGATTTATTGTGATTGTTTGTTTGAATGAGACTAGTTAACCAAAATTTTGCCTTTTAAACATAAATTTGCTTTGCATTTTGATACTTATACAACATTTTAAAATTCCAAATTTTTACTAGGGTAAACGCGGTATATTCCGACATCGTAGGTAATTCCGTCACCTCTCCAGCTTTTCCTTTATATTTGTGAAGTGTTTTGAGAGTCATGTGAAGGCAACAGAACTTACGTAACGCATACGTTTTTTTTTTTAGTTTTTCATTTCTCGATGCGTCCTTAATGTGTCGGAATATACCGCGTTTATCCTACCATTTTTATAAATTTTGAATTAGATAGGTTATAATTCAGCTAGCAAGAATCTAGCAGCTCCATAAATGGCAGAAAAGCTGGATTAAAAAGTAAATATATTCAATATCTATATTTATACTCTTTATAACTTTAAAATGATCAAGAATAACTTTGAGCAATACCAATATTTTACAACTCAACTTAAAAAGCTTTTTTTTCTGAGTGAGGCATTCAAGAAGACAATGAAACATTTTTTACTTACTGATCATTTGTTGCAGGAACTGGAACTAATCCAAAAGAGACTTTTAAAATTTCATCCATAATAAAAAGAAAAGGAATACGAGAAATAAATGACAAGTACAAGGTGTAATGATTAGGGTATGAAAAGTTAATTTCTCGATCCATTTTTAAGAATTTAAGGTAATATAAAATAGTGAACTTTGATCAGTTTGATTGTTGCAAGGGCAAGCCTGATAGGATGGGATGGTGCTAGGTAGACTGCTAGGTACAGAACATAAAAATTCTAGGATTTCTAGCTAGCAAGAAAGTTAAACAATAAAACAACCAAAAAAGATAAGTAATCAGACATTTGATCAGCTGCATACATCCCTCCAGATCCAGAATTTGTGATTTGAATTAATGAGAAAAAAGAAGAGAACTTGGTAATCGGTATCTCATCCCCTAATGAGGCTAATTGCTTTCCAAGTTCCAACCAGTACTTTTATTTAAACTTTTTGAGTGATAAATTACATCTGATGATCTGTAAACAAAAAGGTCACATTAACTGCGTAATGCATCTATTTAACAAAAAATTGATGCATTAAAAGTTGTTTTATTATTGCAAGCACTTTGAATCTGACGTCAGTCGACAGGCGTCAACTCGTCATATCATATATTAGCAAATAAAATATATAGTTCTTTTCTTCTTTAATTTTGCAACTTCCGCAGTTCAGCTTTACAGCCTTTACTCTTCATGCAAATGCAGCGTAATGAGCCAGTGAGCGTAGGACTTGCTTCGATAGTTCAAATTTTGATCAAAAGCATCAATAAATAATTATTAGATCGCAGTATTTATAATTTCAAGGACGCAACACGGACAAGGGCACAAAGCTACCACACAAACATGCCTCACTCGGAAGTCGGAAGCGCATCTGATATAGTTCCGCGTCGGCCCAAAGGAAGACTGCAGTTTTAAACTTTTAATCCATGGTTGAACCATATACTAGTTCAACCATGGTTTAATCGACGTGAAAACGCCGTTTAAACAGAATTTTACCGAAGCAAAAATATAAAAGAAGACAATTTATTTAATTCCACATCATTCGTTTAATTTGATTAATTCATATCACTAATATTGTAGGTTGTAAAAAAAACTTAGCTAAATAATCACGCAACAAATTTCTAAGTTTACGATTAAATAAATTTAGTTACTAAGCTTGGTAATAAGATTAGTAGTTTAATCGTAGAAACCAAAAAATATATATTCTACAGTATATGGTATGCTTAATAAGCTAACTCAGCACAAATGCGTGCAAATATGCAGAAAAACATAACCGAATCGAAAAAAACGAATGAAACCATGGTTGAATCAGAGCTGATGCGATCGAATTGGTATTTGGGAGCGTGCTGACTTTCACCGAATCGACACTTTTGCCCGAATCCACCGTATCAACCGAATCGTCACTACTCCGGACCCATGTCTCGGACAAATAGGCCGGCAGGAACGGCAAAGTAATAAACGTGGGTCAGTACCCACGAGAAGAGGAGTAAGCGAAACGGCAAGAAAAAACACTGTAATGAAAAGTGTAAATAGCTGTACAAAAGACAGTTCTTCAAATGTTGTTCACACCTTTGTTCATGGCAGGAAGCCGTGTACTTGTATATACACCAACGCCGACAGCTTACTCAACAAGCGTTCTGAGCTTCAAGCTCTTGTTGACTTGTGTGACCGGAAACACCGCCGCGAAGTTGAAATAATTATGAGTAGCGTGCCGACTTGACGGTGACTTGCGTATTGGTTTTAACACAAGGGCTAAAGAGTCGCTCTTTGGTCCGGCTCTAAATTCCCTTGCGTTTGGAGAGAGGAGGAATAAACACGAGGAACTTTTCTTAATATATTGGTGATCTTGAAAGATCGGGTTCCAAAGGCCGGATCCCTTGTGAATCAAGTCACGAAAAGTTCAAGAATCGGCAACAGGCCATGGGCCTATTTCTTCAACGCCGACACTTCTATTCTATTCTATTCTAACGTCATTCCATACGTTCAGAACTACCATAATGTCGTTATAAAGCGTTTAAACTTTAAAGTTACAATATAACGTCGCTAAATAACGCTCAAGTTGCCACAACGTCTTTGCGTAACGTACATGCACCTGCAGACTTATCTAAAGACTTCTATTCGAACTTTTATCCAGACATGTGTATAGACTTGTGTAGTGACTTGTGTACAGACTTGGGTACAGACTTCCTTTCCACGTCCACTCAGTCACTAACCTAGCACAGGATTAATAGAACGTACAAGTAAACAAAAAAATATACCACAAAATAAGCATCCCGTCATACGGCCCCCTACTCAAGCGTCAAGCGCCCTCGCTTGATAAATAGCACGCTCCCTGATCCGGTCCGATACCGCGCTCAGCGCAGAGATGTTTGGGGTCTGAGTTCGCTGATCCTGTAGTCCCCGCGCCGCCAAAACGACGCATCGCCGTCGCTGCCGAGCCTTCTCTTCATCACTTAATTTTGGGTTAACCGAGGGGATCCCAAACGTCGACGAAAAATCAGGAGCGTCAGTTTGCGATCCTACACTCGCTGTTTCTTTAGTAAAGTCAATGGGAAGCAACTTCAAAGGTCCGTACGAGACCGGCTCGCTGAGACGCTCCACCTCCATCAGCTCCACCTCCACCGAGTTCTTCTCTACTTCCATCACCTCCACATCCACCGGGTTCTTCTCCACCTCCATCACGTCCACATCCATCGGGTTCACCACCCCCACGGCCCTTCTTTGCTGACACGCCTCTGCCATCTCGAGGTTTCGGCTGATCCTGGCGAGAGCCCTTTCTTCCTCCCGCCGTCTTCTTCGCTCCTCATCATGCACTTTGGCCCCTTTCACACAGGGCAGTAAATACTGCCAGCGTCCGACAGTATTTACTGCCGAACCTTAGTGGACATACGAAATGTGCACTGCTGTTCCCACACGACTGCATTTACTGCGGCGTAGAACTTGACGCCTGACGTCAGCGTGTGTCGCGCTAAAACTGCGGCGGTAGATTTGCCGCGACAGTTAGCTTGCAATGGTATTCAATGTAATCTTTCACACTGGGCGGTTTTTGACGCCACATCCTAGCAGACAGTGGTGCCGTATTTTAGGTTCATAATAAACAGCACTGCATGACATAGATTATAGCATAATATTATTACATAAATATCGGAACATAAATAATGTTACATAAACATAAAAATATACGTTGATAAATATATATATCCTTGAAGTGATAGAGATATATTTCATATAAGATATATTTTCCATAAAATATATAGGTATTTCCATAGAGATGTATTTACATTATTCTCACGTAGAGATAGATTTCCATATAGAAATATTGTTACACAAACATAGAGATGGACTGATGAAGCATAAAGCACTGCAAGACTGATAGATCCCAGCAGTAAAAAGCGCCTCGTGTGAAAGATTGCGATGTAAATACTGCCGCGGCATTTTTGACGCGCGCAGTATCTACTGCCCTGTGTGAAAGGGGCTTTTGTCTGCTCCAGAGCCCTCCTTCCCTCTACTATTCTCCAAGTCAGTTGGATCACCGCTGACCTCATTCTTCCCTCTACGAGACCCGGGAACGTTCTCTCCGCCCCTTCACTCTCTTCTTTCTGGGTTTATTCGCTTTTTCATCGTCCTCGGGACCGAAGAGCTCTTCAAATAGTTTCTTCAACTTCGCCTTCCTCTTGGTGCTCCTAAGGCTCCGTAACAATAACTCCTCTTCCTCGACCGTCACCTGTACATTCATCAGCTCTTGCTCTGATCCAAGGAGCACGCTTTCTGAAAACGCACTCATTACTGCTAACAAAACTTGGACTAAATGAACAAAATTTTACCTGAAACGAACGGGGAGACAAAGATTAGCACGCGACCTGAGATTATACATTGACTCGACTTCCGAAGTAGAGCTACTCGATAACTCCTCTCCAGACGTCTCAACCCCCGAACTATCCAATTTGCCCGTTATAACTAAACCCGAATTTCCTTTCTTCCTTTCGTCCTCCTGTGAAGAACCGCTATCCTCAGGAGTCGAAGTTATTGGTGGCACATACCGCTTTACGCGGTTTTTGTGAATAAGATACGGCCTCCCATCTACTTCAAGCGTCACAACGGCACCGTGATCAGAGATTACCCTGAACGGGCCCTTCCACAAGCTTCCCAGTGACTTCTTCTTCGCGGGTGGGGATGCCATCCAGAGCAGTTCCCATTTTCGTAGTTACTTTTCTTAGCATTTTTGTCGTACTGTCTTCGCTGTTTCTCTTGAGATTTCTCGGTGTTTTTCCAAGCCTCGTTGATCTTCTGTTGAGTCCGATCGAACAGATCACGAGCGTACTCGAACTGACAAGGGTAATCAGCTGCAGACACCCCCAGCTCGCGATCCAGGGCGATGCGAGGTCGACGACCAAACTTCAATTCATGAGGCGTGAAGCCAGTCGTCTCATTCAAGGTCGAATTGTAAGCCAACGACAGTGACCCAATCACCATATCCCATGGTTGATCCTCTTGCAGGTTTGAACGGAAGAGGTTTCTGAGGGTCCGAATGATCGTCCGATGGATTCTCTCATTGGTTCCGTTAGTCTGAGGATGCCATGACGTCTGACGTTTCTCGATTCCCCACCCTGTACACCAATCCGTGAATAGCTTCGACTGGAACGGAGTCCCACGATCCGTCAGTAATGCTTCCGGGACCCCCAGCGGATAGATGGCTTGTTGCATAAGGCCGCTCACGATGCTCTCGGTATTCGCTTGTTTCATAGGGACGGCCACCAGGTACTTCGTAAAGTGGTCTACTACGGTGAGGACATAGGTGTTGCCAGACGGCGTCTTTTCCAAAGGTCCCATTACATCCAGCGTCATCAGTTCCCAGGGCCTGGTAGAACGGACGGAAACCATGGGTTCGCGATTCTGGGCTCCGTAGATTTATTCGCCTGACAGACGGAACAAGTTGCACACACCTTTGAAGCCAATTTATAGTCCACAGGACAGAAAAATCTTTCTCGGAACTGATGCAAGAGCCGATCACGTCCCAAGTGTGCTTCGCAAGCTGGGTCAGCATGCAGCCGAATCATCACCCTGGCCGCTTCTTTGGGGAACATCAAGCGCCTTTCGCCGCACCGCCAACCAAGGCCATCTTCGTTTCGCTGCAGATTCACCTTAACTAGTGCTTTTAAGAAGGGCTCATCTGAACTCTTGAGTTTACCCACGTCCCCTTCTGCATTTTCTAACATTCTTTTGAGATCTTCGTCACTTGGTCCATGCGCTATTCGTCCCAAGACTGCGACATCGTCTTCTACTTCATTGCTTAATTGATCGCTTTCAGCGGTCGGTAGTCTCGACAACCCATCAGCGTGAGAGATTTTAGTTCCCGGCCGGTAGCGAACAACAAAGTCATACTCCGACAGGGCCATTGACCATCGACTCATCATTGAGGATTTATCCTTGGTGTTTTGCAAGTACTGCAAGGAATAGTGATCCGTTTCCACAATAAACCGTCTGCCCATAAGGTGGTGACGGAATTTTTTTACTCCATAGACCAGGGCCAGACATTCTTTTTTTGTGACACTATAGTCCTTTTGTGCAGGGTTT